CACACACACACACACACACACACACACACACACACACACACACACACACACAGAGAGAGACACACACAGACAGAGAGAGAGAGACACATACACACACACATAGGTGTTTCACTCTTGCTCTGAGTGTGTGCTGGTCATGTGATCGGTGTGATTGTGGGCTCTCACCCGCTGCGGCGCGTCTCTCTGTGTGTCGCTCTTCTGCAGTCGCTCCTGTAGACACCTCTGGAAACACTGCAGCTCTGTGACCTCTGACCTCTGCAGGTGCAGATCAGGCATCAGACACACACACGAGCGGCTCACTGCTCAGCACAGTCTCGTACAGCGCTCACCTCCGTCTCCTCGTCTGCAGGGGTCACAGCGGGGTCACTGGGGTCAGCGTCGTGCCGTTTGAGCTCACAGACGGCGTGTGGAAGAGCGAGACAGCGATCCAGACGACACGCAGCCTTCACACACTCCAGCTGCAGACGCAGACGCTGCTCATACGAGAGAGAGCGCAGACACGCACACACACAGCTAACACACACACACACACACACACACACACACACGTCTCAGGTCACATGGTCAAATATATTTATTCTGCCTTCCTTAGATTCTACGCAACATAACGACACTCGCCGCTCAATGAGGACGACAGCAGATTCTGTATGCGTGCCAAACTAGACTGATTTAACACTCAGATGAACTAAACTTCATCACGTCCAGGGTTACTATAGTAAACTAAAGCCATAAACTACTGTTTGTTATAAACCTTAACTGTAATAAAATACAGTTATTTACCTACTTTCAACTTTACCTAATTTTACCTAATTTCATTAAGTCCATCTACTAAAATAACTAAAACTGAAATAAAAATTTATAAAAAATTCTAGACATTAAAAGAAAAACCGACAAAATGACAAAAACACAACAAAATAACTCGTTTGAATCAAATTTAATAATTAAAATGAAAACAGAAAGTAAAAAATAAATTCTAACTATTAATAAAAACTATAATAATCTCTCAATGAAACAAAATAAAACTGATCCCTAACCCTAAGATTTATACAACATTTCACTCCTAAAAACATGGTGAAAATGTGTTTGTTTTCTGTCTGTTGACAGTGTTTTCTGATTTATGGAGCGATGAAAAGAGAAATCCAGAATCCTCTCTGGAAAAACCTTCAACTCTAACATAAGAACAAAATCAGACCAGAATTACAAACCTGACTTTATCCAGTGATCAGATTTATGTGCTGGAACTGAATGCAAATCTGTGCATATTTAATTAGATAATACCTAATTTGTGAACTTGAACACGACATTTCAGAAAATTTGTAAAACAAAAAATGGTCTAAATGTACTGTGATTATTCAAATGGGGAAGTATGATATTGATTAGTTAAAAATATTTACCCTGTTCACCTTAAACTTTATGACTGTTTAAAAACGGCTGTGAGTTAATTGAATATGCATGTACACACCAAACCGCAGTCTGCAGAAACACAAAGACATTCACTACTGGATCTTTCTAGCTTGTTTGTGTGTTTAACTGTATGTTCTCAGTCTAGTTTTAGGACTCAGATGAAGGTCTGATCTCAAAATCAATCAGAAACAGCAACAGCCTCAAGGCTTCACACACATTCTCATGCAGCATGTCACCTGCAGTATTCTCTGAAGGCATCTCTGATGCTCCACTGCTCCTGAAGCTCCTGCTGCTGCTGCTGTCGGATGCAGCTCTGAGCGGATCGCAGCTCGCGGGCCGCTGCTTTCCCCAGACGCTGCAGACGCTCCTGAATCTCCTCCGTCTGCGGCAGCAGCTGCGCAGATCCTGGACACCACGCAGACGCATGCGCCTTCAGCTCCGCTAGTGAACTCTGCAGCAAACACAGACTCATCTGCACACAGAAGCACAGGAGTTACACCACAGACACCAACAGACACGCCTGCAGCTCACTCGTATCCCACAGTACCTTGCGTGTCCTGCCTGCCGTCTCTTCATCCAGGTGATTGATGAGTTCTGATAGTTCATTGCTCTGGTACATCAGTATTTCTGTCCATTTCTGCAGGTACTGATCCACCGTGACGTCAGAGGAAGCGCTCACAGCCTGCAGCTGATGCCAGTGTTCACACACCTGCTCCAGCGAGAATTACACTGATCACAGTCATAGACCCCCAAATCATCAACATGATCAAACTTCACTGTTAAACCTGTTTCTCACTCAATCTCATCATGTCTTCTGTCTCTGATTGACAGTTTAGAGTGTTTTATCCAGTCAAAGCTCTTTTAGTGTAACTGTACAAACGTCCAGCTTCAGCTGCTGCTTCAGTGTGTTTTTCTGTCAAATCTTGACTGATTTTTATCAAGTAAGCGTCAGAATAACTGCAGTAATATCTCCAGATGAACACTTACTGGACTGAAGCAGCTCAGCTTTACTTGATTCTCCATCAATCATGTTTTAGAGTCTCAAATCTGATCCTCAGGATCTTTTGAGGAGCGTTTGTTTCCAGAAGCTTTACTTTCACTGTTCCTCAGCGGAGGAATGATCTTCACAAGCCTCCAGAACATCTCACATCTTCTGAGGAGCCTTTATTTCTTCAGCTCTCAATCACTGCATTATATGTTTGGAGCATTTCAATCTCATCTTACTGAGACAGATTACTGGAGATATAGAGCGACCACTGATATTTATAGCATTTTATGTCAGTATCTGCTGTACTGTTAGAAAGATCTCACTGACTTACATTACAAGCAGCAGAATTCCATCCAACTGCATCAAATAGCATTTTCTTGCTCAATTGGAGGTGTTTTTCATCATATTCTCACTATATCATGCTTTATGAGACTCTTATTTAATGTCAGACTTTACAGGTTTATACCTGAACACAGCTCAAAAACACACACACACACCTTCTCAGACAGCAGCTGCCGTCTCTTCTTGATGATGGCACAGCGGATGGCGCTGCGCTCACGACTCACGCTTTCTTCTAAATTCTGTTTGACCCGCAGAATCTCCAAATGAACATCAGAACACTGTTGGGAGAAACCACACTCCCTACACACACACACACACACAATAAATATCTGTTCTAAAAGAAAGAAAAATATGTATAGCGAGACACGAGCGATGAGAGTACAGTAATATTGTAGATCACACGAAGTTCAGAATTTACTATGCTGCAGTACAGCACAGCTAATGTGTGATGAAGTATGTAGTATGTGATGGTGTGGTATGTACCCCGCGGGAGTACCGCCGGACTCGCGGGACCCAACGCAACAGGGTGCGGCGCAGGACAACTCTTGATGGGCGGGTGCGGCTGGGAAGAGACTCGTGTGTGTGCGGGATGCGGGAGAATAAAATGATTCGCAGAACTCCCGCAAAATAGAAATATCTAAACATAAAATGTCTAAAAACATATAAATTGTTATTTATCTGTTGCACAAAAGCAAAAAGAACAACTAATATTAAATGATTAACATGCGCAAGCATAGGCAGTTTCTATTTATAACACTGTTTAAAGTGTTTGCACAAATGTAGCCAATCACAGACTCAGCTGTTGATTTCTGGAACGCAATGGCCAATCAGAGGTGATTAAGTTAGAATCCACTCACAGCAGTGCTGAAATTGTGTGCTCACGAATCCTCTCATTTTAACACACGAAGTGTAGACATTGTGAAATATTAATTTTTCATATGTTCGTTGTGTTATAACAGATGCGGGATGCGGGAGAATAAAATGATTCGCAGAACTCCCGCAAAATAGAAATATCTAAACATAAAATGTCTAAAAACATATAAATTGTTATTTATCTGTTGCACAAAAGCAAAAAGAACAACTAATATTAAATGATTAACATGCGCAAGCATAGGCAGTTTCTATTTATAACACTGTTTAAAGTGTTTGCACAAATGTAGCCAATCACAGACTCAGCTGTTGATTTCTGGAACGCAATGGCCAATCAGAGGTGATTAAGTTAGAATCTACTCACAGCAGTGCTGAAATTGTGTGCTCACGAATCCTCTCATTTTAACACACGAAGTGTAGACATTGTGAAATATTAATTTTTCATATGTTCGTTGTGTTATAACAGAGCTTTTTGAGATCGAGATGAACTGAGATGTCAGCATTTAATGATAATAAAGGGAGTGCTGTTTGCTGGCATTCTGTGGCATTGTAGTGTGTGTGATGGTGTGGTATGTAGTGCGTGTGTGATGGTGTGGTATGTAGTGTGTGTGATGGTGTGGTATGTAGTGTGTGTGATGGTGAGGTATGTAGTGTGTGTGATGGTGAGGTATGTAGTGTGTGTGATGGTGAGGTATGTAGTGTGTGATGGTGTGGTATGTAGTGTGTGTGATGGTGAGGTATGTAGTGTGTGTGATGGTGTGGTATGTAGTGTATGTGATGGTGAGGTATGTAGTGCGTGTGTGATGGTGAGGTATGTAGTGCGTGTGTGGTGGTGTGGTATGTAGTGTGTGTGTGATGTGTGGTATGTAGTGCGTGTGTGATGGTGAGGTATGTAGTGCGTGTGTGATGGTGAGGTATGTAGTGCGTGTGTGATGGTGAGGTATGTAGTGCGTGTGTGATGGTGAGGTATGTAGTGCGTGTGTGATGGTGAGGTATGTAGTGCGTGTGTGATGGTGAGGTATGTAGTGCGTGTGTGATGGTGAGGTATGTAGTGCGTGTGTGATGGTGTGGTATGTAGTGTGTGTGATGGTGAGGTATGTAGTGTGTGATGGTGTGGTATGTAGTGTGTGACAGTGTGGTATGTAGTGTGTGACAGTGTGGCATGTAGTGTGTGACAGTGTGGCATGTAGTGTGTGACGGTGTGGCATGTAGTGTGTGACGGTGTGGCATGTAGTGTGTGACGGTGTGGTATGTAGTGTGTGTGACGGTGAGGTGT